AATAGGACTTCGTGACGAAGGGGCGGAGCTCACTGAGTCCATGGACTCAATCGATGAATTTTACATAGGTCCAGCCCGGTTCGATTCCCGGGTAGGACATTTTTCCGACATTAAAATCTTTCGAGCTGTTCGCATAATCGAGTTTTTGTCTTTAGAGGAGTCGTTTGATTCATCTGGTGGCCTCTCACGCTCTGTAGTTAACGAGTATTTTTGCACGCACGCACAACGCGAAAGTGCATGTTGTTCGCTCGCTCCGCAATTTTTCCGCGGAAAAAATTGTGAATTTTTCCTCTTCATATCACGGGTGAAATTGAATATTTTTTTCAGTTTTTTGAATTATAATGGCCGTTTCAATTTGCTATCCCACCTGCTTCGACTGTGCGGAAATTTTATTTTCGCGACCGAGAGAGTCTTCAAGCCGATCCTCGTCACATGTAATGATAATCGATCAAGTGATCGATTTGTGAATTTTTTTGGGGAAAATTATCGAAAAAATACGTTATAAAAACCTGTAGTTGGTGGTCAAAAATAATATCTAAATTTTGGCGTTTTTCGAAAATTTTTCGACTTTTTCAGAAATTTTCGTGAAAACTTTCTGTTCAGGACCGTTCCGTTATTGCCGCCCTACACAGCGCTGGTGGCTTCGATGGGATCAGAATTTCGGGTTACCTCTACAAACAGTCGAAGTTTATTAAAACGTTCCGACGCAGATATTGTGTAGGAAATATTCCAGAATCGCTTCGCTCCGCCGATTTTTTTATTGAAAAATTTAGTGTCTAATTGGTGATAAGCTTTTCGCATTCAAGCGGCCGGAAGACCTCGCGAGGGGATCCTATACGGAGGTGAGAGGCGTTGAGGAAATGCAAGATTGGTCAAGATGAGCAAGATTTGGTAGGTGTTGGAATTGGAGAGCGCTGACTATCTAGTGGAGTGGGATGTTGTCCCGAATATTCATAATGTGAAGCAGATCGAGGGGAAGTACCTTTTTGGGCCTACTTTGAATCTTGTATGGTTGAACCTAAGATACGCCTTTGAAATTGGCACGAATGCGGAGACTCCTGCGAGGAGGGAATGGATGTTTGCAGTTGATACGGAAGTTGAGCGCAGACGTTGGGTGCACAGTCTGGGGAGCTTTTGCAAGTGAGCAGTGGTGGAGTAAGAATATATGTAATCGCTTTCCTCACCTGTTGAGCTCAGAAGAGTTTCCTATACAGTGTTGGAGTAGGAATATATGTAATCGCTTTCCTCACCTGCTGAGCTCAGAAGAGTTTCCTATACAGTGTTGGAGTAGGAATATATGTAATCGCTTTCCTCAACTGCTGAGCTCAGAAGAGTTTCCTATACAGTGTTGGAGTAGGAATATATGTAATCGCTTTCCTCACCTGCTGAGCTCAGAAGAGTTTCCACACTGGAGCAAATCGATCACGTGATCGATTTTGATGATATTTTTAGGCAAGTCTGGCGTCCTGATGAAACAGGGTTGGAAGGTCAGTTGAGAATCTTGCGAGTGAAGGCGATCGAAAATGTGCCAAACAAAACGTATCTTATGCACAGTGACGGTCGGGCACCGGTGATTGAAGATTCTGATAATTGTAATAACGACAGGAGGGGAAAATCAGTTTTTCTTGGAAAATTTTCCAATTTTCCCGGAAAATTTGGAGTTTTTTTCTCTGAAAAATTAGTGATAGGAGCCTAAACGCATCTCATTCACACTGACGGTCGGACAGCGGTGATAGAAAGTTCTGATGACTGTAATAACGAGAGGAGGGGAAAAAGGGGGAAAGGTTTCTCTTGGGGAAATTTTCCAATTTTTCCGGAAAATTTGGCGTTTTTTCTCTGAAAATTTGAAGTTTTTTCTCTAAAAATTTTTGTGATATGAGCTCAATCGAGACGTATCTTCTCATGCACAGTGATGATGGGGCACCGTTGGTAGAAAATGGTGGTAATTGTAATAACGACAGGATGGGAAAAATGTGGAAAATCTGTTTTTTTGGCGAAAAATTATTTTTTTACGGGAAAGGTTGTGTTTTTTTTCCAAAAATTTCGCCGGAAAAAACGGAAAATCAGTTTTTTCAGCAAAAAAAATGAATTTTTATGGAAAATTCAGTGTTTTTTTCTGACGGAATAATTGGTTTTTTCTCAGCCGAAAATGGCTTCCCCTTGCCGTCGCTTTCAACAACCAGTGGACGGCGGGAATCTTCGGACGAGCGCACAGCGAAGATTCGTGAAGATTGCTCTAATGTTGATGATAAAATTATTGACCTCACCTGCTTTGCTGATCAAAACCACACTTGCAGCATTTGTTTCAAAGACTTGACTGATGAAGAGGTGAGTAGAGCGCGCGCGCCCTGATGATCGATTTGTTTCACAGGTATGGGAGCTCACTTGTGGGCATTACTTTTGCTTGGATTGTATCAAGGAGTGGTCGAGGTTCAAGCGCACCTGTCCTGTGTGTCGTGAAGTATTCTAAATCGATTATCAGGGCGCGCGCTTTTTATAACATAATCTGAGTATACTTGCTTTAGTGATAGGAAGTGCCTTTTGATGATAGGTATGACATGTGCTGTAAAATTCCGTCACTGCGCCACAAAATTGGAGTCTGTCTTGTTATTTCTACTGTAATAGAAACTGCACATTTGGTGGAAAATTTGGTGGCGCAGGCGGAGCGAAGCGAAATTTATTTTACTTTTTTCTTCCGAAGGGTGTCATTGATTATTTGGGCTGAGCTGATCGGCGGGTGGTTCGATCGATTCGGATATCATTGAGTTATTGAGTTA